CTTTACCCATGGAATGAGGGATACAGACCTGCAGCAAGCGCTTAGAATCTAAGACCAAAACCATTGTCTATACACTGAAGTTATCTCTGCTGCGGAGTATCGAGCTACCATAATGCATCTTCGTAAAAGAAAAAGCAATATCAGGAAAGTGAAGATATCGGAGCAAAGCTCTAACACAAAGTCAAATATTTTTTCAGAAATTGGAGGCGATGTTTCGGAATTAAGTAGTGCTCGAAAGAAGACCACGACTTCAGAAAGCGGAGGAAGAAGATAGTTCCAGATATCGGAAAAATGCCACCTCGCCAGTGTGCTTGAACGTTGTCTTCTAAGATCTTGAATTGAAAGTGAATTGTGTGTCAACGGCAAGGAATGTAATGTGTCCATCGACCATACGCCCCGACAAAAATTATAAGGAACTCGTATTTATCTGGAGAAATAAACCGCTATCTATTAGAACCAGCTATATATATTTGATAAATGTTTTCACTGAGGCCACCGTGACATGGGGATAAGGGAGTAATAAACTGAAGAGTTATAGTTACTGACATATTACATGATGGTCTTATAACAGGTGTGGATTTCTTGGAAGCCTTCGATTTCCTATCTGTAGACAAAAATAAACTGTTGACAACAGGAGAAGAAATATTTTTCTCTTCGCCTCAAAATAAGCACTGCAAATTTAAAATCATAACAGACGAAGACATGCGAAATCTAGGAAATTATGAGACAATCGGGATGGCACACCTAGAAAGGCAGCCAGAAGACATCAGGTAGAATTAATTCTTTACTGATTCTCCATTCCCTAATAGCTCTCGTGCACAAATTGTCCACAGAAAATGGATTTATTTCACCCTCCAAATATTTCTTTATGGAATAAAAAGTATATACCTTAGGGGCTGCTAGCTACTATAAGGCGATTTCCGAGTGTACACTAAAGTTAGCCCAGCTTACAGTCGCTTGAGGTGGATTTGTTGTTAAGATAAGGACAACACGTAATTCGATACCATAGTCCACAAGCAAAATAGTAAGATAAGTGTACTAAAATAAACAAATTAGTGGCACTAATTATGAATTGTGAAACCTTGTACCTATATTGTCCTTTAACTACCAGGTCCAAAAAAATCAAGAGACATGAACTCAAGTAAGTCAATTCGAACTGTGTAAGGAATATAAATGTTTTAACAGTGTGTTTGTCGCAACACTATAATTAGGTGTAACATTTTCATAATAAAAATATTTCAAAAATCTACAATTTCTATTACAAACTCAGTAGTCAACTAGTTTTTATAGTTTTCAGGGCGCTTTGGAAACTGATTGCACCATTGATATTAACGTGGTGTGTTTTACAAACACTGGTATTACAGGAAATTTTCAACTTGGGATTTCATCAGCATCATTATTACGTCTCCACAAAAATACCTATTTTCAGGAAGTTAACAAGAATGAGCCGATTTTATTTCAAGCACAATATTTTTCCATTATTCGAACGTTCATTATAAACGTAACCAGAGCGGTCACTATCTGTGAGATTTAAATCATATTTTTGATTTAAATACATTTTTTGATTTAAATACAATAATTTTAAATCTTTTTTCAGAAAATTATTTAAATCTTTCTTAAAAGTATCTACCTATATCTTTGATTTTTGATTAAAAAAATGAATTTTGAAGATTTAAATTTTTCTAAGACAATTTAAATCTTTCTAAAATGATCTGAATCTGTAAACTGATTTATTTATTTATCCTGTGTTTACCAATTTACAATAAAGTTGGCTTTTTGCTTGGCTACTGCTATATACTACATTATAATCTCGATTATAATATATACTATGGCAATATGAGAAACTTTCGTAAGTCTTATTATGGATTTCTACAACGTTGAAAACACTTCGTGGAACAATCAGTTTAAAATGGACAGATATAACAAAGCTAATTCAAATGTTAAATGGATTTTCCGCAGAAAAATAACTAAGAAAATTTTAAGGAGAACTCAATTGAAATTTCAAACGTAATTTTATCAAACGTTATTTGTTTGCCTAAAAAGAATAAATAACTTTATCTACAAGCGCTTGGTTATGACGTTTTTACATAACCATTTTTCTAGTATTTGAGTTATGTTATGAGACTCATAACACAACTAGTGGTGTTATAGACTAGGTTATAAATTCATAACACAACTAGTGGTGTTATGGACGAGGTTATGAGTCTATAACACAACTATTTTTGGTGATTTGACAAATGTCAAAGGTAAACCTGTAAAGGTAAAATGAAGGTAGACAACTATTAATGAACGAAAACAATTGGAAAAATATTCTTATTTTTCGCTTTGTAGATAAAACGTTGTACATCACACGTGCGTTTAAACATGACTACAAAACTCGTGTGATTAGAAAGACTCGGTCTACGACCTCGTCGTTCTAATCCTTCACACTCGTTATTGTAATCATGCTCATAAAAGCACTTGTAATGTAAATAACTATTATAGTATGATTTTCAATATTGTTTTTTTTTTCACATTTTTCATTTTATAAGATTTTTTAAATTTCAGATTTGTTGAGATAATTTTTTTTACATTTTTTGATCTATTTTTTAAAATTATGAATGAGCTAAGTCCTAAGTAGTTTTTCTTGTTGAAAAATTACGAAACGATTTAAATCACTCTACATCATAATTAAAATACTTTTAGGTGATTTAAATCTTTAACAATATTTAAATCTTGTGAAAACATTGAAATATTTTGTAAAGATTTAAATGTTTCCTAAAATGATTTAAATTGTGAAAAAGATTTAAATATAAAAAAGATTTTTGATTTAAATCGTTTGGCCAAATGAAAAGTACTTTGATTTAAAACTTTTTTGAAATGATCTTGAACAGCTCTGAGCGTAACGAACAGGCTGACATCAAACATCCGGGGGATGGTAGCAATTAAAAAAAAATCCAAATCAACAGGAATGCTAAGCTACAAACATGTTTCGTTTGTAACATGACGAATGCATAGGTACTCACCTAAAATTAAAATCTTAGCCACATTTGTTTTAACATTGAAAAAATCGTACTATAGTTAGTCAAAGTAAAAATGTAGGTATTTTTGTTCTCATGACATCTTTATTTTATCTTTATTTTTATTTACAATAAAATTGAAACAACCATCACAAAGGACATGGCACGGATTAAATGGAAACTAAAGGCCAGTCAATTTTTTTAAAATTTTAATATGTTGCAAAGTGGGGGAAAAGAAACAAAAGTTACCATGGGCCCATTGTGCCCCGACCAATAGGAGACCCACTAAATGAATTTAAAGAACACTTTAAGAACATAAAACATATAAGTAAAACATAAAAACACACCATCTACACTTTATTCACACTACTATAACTATGCCTTAGAATTCTATTATGTTATGGATACATCCTTTTCGCGAAAAAAAGACAATTGAAAATCGCGAATTTGTCTGGGGATGGCGACAGGGTAGTGATACCTGTCGATATAATTTTTTGAAAGATATTTTCTATCTCTTTAGGGGGCCCTTCCTTCTTCTTGCGAGGGGGGGAGGCGTTAAAATCTTGGGTATTTTTATCAAAACGAACTTTTTAGTTAAAAAGACAACAATATATAAAACATGAAAACCTTAGTAATTTGCCATTTTCGGTCATTTCCAAGCTTGCTTTAAACTCATTTAGTGGGTCTCCTATTGGTCGGGGCACAATGGGCCCATGGTAACTTTTGTTTCTTTTCCCTCACTCTACAACATATTAAATTTTTAAAGAAATCGACTGGCCTTTCTTTTCCATATAATCCGTGCCATGTTCTTTAGATGTTAGTATTTCAAGGAGGGCAATTTTTACCAATCATTATTGGCCGGCCTAATATTAATTAGTTTCTATTTTGAAACAAATTTCTATGCTAGAAAGTGAGATAAAGTGACCAAAATTATTGTCCCATCTTGCTAGACTTACGATTTTTCTATATTTTTTGTTTTTGCTCATTTATTTTTTGATATCTAATATTTATGATAAAATATTTATTATTAGATACGATTTCTTGTAGTTATAACCGTCTGTACCTACTTAATTATTGTTCAAAATAAACTTGGGGATGTTCAGACACAAATTGATTTTATGGCTAGGTACTTATTGAATTATAATCACAGATCTTTCGAGAAATGAAGAAAAAGCGCCATCGTTGAACTTCAAATAACTATTCAATTGAAAATTAATAAAACTAATTGTAAAATATCTACCGCTAACTATCAAGAGACCAAAGGCGTTGATATTGATAAGTGTCAGATAGTATTCTGGTAAAGTACCTAATATTTCAGTTCCCTCATGAAATATTTCTGTTGGGATAGTGAAGTTGAATAAGAAATTAGTTGTTATGCAAATGAATGTATAACATTTGAAAATAATTGATAGAGTTAAATTATATATCTTTCGACTAACTAACATAATTAAATCTTTCAAAGCATCAAGCATAAAAGTGCGCGGACAGCCTTTTTGCCGCGCTAATTGATTTTCGTAATCAACCCACCCCCCAATTAACATTTAAACAAGTGCGTAGAGGCCACAATACGCTCTACCACCCCCCAATAAAGCTCGGTCGTTGTGAGCCGAACTTTCGAAATACCTCTCTACCTTCCGCATCCCTTATACCGTCGTCTACGTCTCCGTTTGAGAATCTCGCTCAAGGGGGTGCTTGCTGCTCTAATTCTCCCCTCCACTTATCCCCTCCCACGGCTGGTGGGGGTTGGAGTTAGCGTAGGTCATCCCTTGACTTGAGTGTGTAAAAATGTTCAGTAAGCGCTCATGTGCTAAAACAAGTAGTTGTGCAACACTTTCTAATATTTAGCTGTCCGATCGTAAAGGCCGATACTTTGGGATTTTTATTTGTTGTGAAAAGTTATGTTTATGTGATTTTTTAGTATTGTACCTATTGACATTATCGATACAATTTTTTCGGACTATTTTTGGAACTGTGATTTGTTCCTGTTGTGGTTGGTGAATCATGCCCTTGCTACAAGAAATAAGCGCTCCGAAAAGAGGTAAACATTGGTTATTAGAGTTGTTTGAAAATGAGAACTATTTTTAGAAGATTTTTAAAAACAGTTGTCATTTAATAGTTTGAAATTTGTTTATCTTCTATTTTATTTACCTTTGTTTGTTTGATATTATTGTGTGTATTTGCATTGTGCTGACTGGAATCCTACATGTCTAGATAATTAGTTTCCTGATAACTGGAAATGTATGAATGACTCTTCGCTAAATTGGCAGCGCAAAGTTATTTTAACATTCAACAGGAAAAAAATAGTTCATTATTGGATTTTACTAAATCGAAGTACCTAAGTACCTAGATTTTCTTGCCTAAAATGTCTATTTGCTTTTGTGTTTCAGCAACTCGAGACAATCATGCAAAAAACTGCTACTTAAGGCATATAAATTACGATGTTATTACTTGTGATATAAAGGCTTATTGATTTTACATCTTCAATTAATGTTGAGCAACTAACTTTTTCTAAAATTAACACTTGAAACTGTAGGTACCTATAGTATTTGATATCTTACAAATTTGTTGTATGACAATATTCATGCCTTTGGATATAATTCTTGAAAGCTCTATGAATTCTACATTCTACAATGTGGCACAGTTTGAGATTTTTATCTATTAGTTACAAAGGTATCTATGATATACAAATTTTGATTTTTCCTTTTATCTAGTACCAAGGTCTAGTATCTAGGTAAGAAGTGTCTATAATTTCGATTTAAATGTTTTATCACAAAAGAAATAACAAATGTTAGTAATAAATTAATCATTTCCTGAATCAGTATGCCAGAGGACATCTTGTATTTCTTCCAAAAATTGGGTAGCTCTGACAAAATGGCCCATGCTCTGGAAAGTTTTATATAGTGATGCCGCGAGACGAGACTAGACGAGACTTAGGGTTGGTCTCGTCTCATCTCGACATCTAGAGACGAGACCGTGACTTAGTCTCGGTCTCGACTACCAAAGTCTCGTCTCGTCTCGAGTGGTCTCCTCTGGTCTCGAGTTATACAGGGTGTTCAAAAAATAGCGTGAAAACTGTTCTCTACATGGTGGAGGACCCTACAAGAAACCCCAGAAAAATACTTGAAAAAATCTAGTAGCATCCCGAAGAAAGTTATTTGCATTTTAATATTTATTTGAATTGGCAACATTGAAAATATCCCGTTGACAATATGTCAGAGAATTAAATTAAATACCCATGTAATTACCTGAAGAATTCGAAGGTAAATTTTCACATCTACCTCTTCATATTACCAAAAATAATGCTGGAGAAGGATTTTTTTAATTTAATTATTTTTCTAGGGTTTCTCAAAGGGTCCCCTACTACGTGGAGAGCTTTTACGCTATTTTTCGGACACCCTGTATTTTGGTTTTTATTTTTATATTATAACGGAAGTCCAAACTGCCACAGTGAAAAAGCAATTAGTGAAAAATCACAGTAAAGAGTAACCGTGATATTTAATTTACTGATTTCATATTCAAATAGCCCAGAATAGTCCAATAATAAAGCTATGAAAGAAAAATTTTAAGTGTAATCTCGAGACTCGAGACTACACGAGACTCTCGCCGAGTCTAGTCTCGTCTTGTCGAGACTTCACGAGACGAGACCAAAAGCCAGTCTCGTCGAAAAGTCGAGACGAGACGAGACGAGACGAGACCAGTCTCGAGTCTCGCGGCATCACTAGTTTTATACCTTATATTTCTGTTCAAAACTATCTTGGGCAATTTTTAAGTTGAACCAGCTTGGGTCTAGCTGCACAATTTGAATCTGCTTATTTGTGGATTTATATTTAATAGAAATTTAATTTAAATGAGCAGGCGTAATCATCAGTATCGCCGCACTAACTAACTAACAGCTAGCTCTTGATGAGATGCAGTTAAAAAGTCTAATTTCGCGTAGTATTTGCTATTTCTTGAAGCTTATATATAAGCTCAATTCAATTAAGCACTTACCAGATTTTGAAGTGTAATGTAATAGCTGCCAAACCCAATGAATTAATGAAACGTTATATTTATCAGTGTATCTACAGAGTATAGAGCTTCCCTCTAAAATGTCCAATTTTCTGATCTTACCTATGTCTTTGAATATATTATGAAGGCATTGATTCTAAATTTCAAAAAAAATACCTAAGTGAGTTTTTTAGAACCGGATGTTCATTAGTTCTGACTTGACCTTTCGAAAAATCTAAAAGTCAAGCTTTTTAAAAATCCATTATCTGATATTTTTGGACTTTCAATTAGGTATTTCTCCGTACCTTTTAATAGGTCAATCGAATACACATTACCAGTATACATTTTAAATGTGAAATGCATTTTTTTCTCAAAAAATGTAAAATTCCTGATTCCGGTCCTAAAAACCAGAAGGAATCGTCTTCTATCGTCTATCGCAAAAACGATATCGTCCCACTCATTGATGCCCTCTTCTTCCACTATTCACAATGGAATTCCCGTCGCATTTTATGGACGACGCGTCTGACTCGACGTTTTCCTATTCAAAATTCGGTTATGTGGATTTTATTTTCATTGTGTTATCACGTTTCGCTCTTCAATAGCCTCACGCGCGTCATCTATCAGAATAAATGATTTTTTTCTATATTTTTCGGAACGTTTTGTGACAGTGGGGATCATCCATCATAGTTTTGCTGTATGTATTCAAAACGATCAGGGTATCTATAAGGAAACGATCTATGCATGTTTATTGAATCAATGTCAATGAAAATGATGACGCCTATAGCAGCAGTTTGAATAGAAGCAAATTTCTGGATTTTATTATCAAAAGTGATTCCACCTAATAAATTTTCTACATAATGCAATGTTCCTATAATGATATTAAAGCCCTTTTTAAGAACCAGGCCTTCGCCTAAGACGCTTTTCGAGGGCTGCTGTAATGAATCATTAACGATCAGGACTCCTCCCAGGAGTCCAGGTCAAAAAGAAGCGCAGTCGCGAGCCATTATCCTTTCTCATTTATCTCCTCCCTTCATTAGTCCCGTCTTCCGTTCCTGGGATAACCCTTCCGCTCTCGAGTTTGGGAGCTTCCATTTACCCAACAGGACGAATGCCCGTTTAAAAGGAAAATGCGAATAATACTTTTTCTCCCTTTTCAGTTAGTCTCGGCATAAGAGAGAAAGGACCTTTCCTGTATTTTTGCAATTGACGTTGTTTTATGCACGAAAATGGAACCATTTGCTATGGTTTAGAACTTCCTAAAAGAATACTATTATGTGCGAGTTTTTTAATGGGGTTTTAATAAAATTTTGGATATCTTCACACATTACAAGATATTTGTTATCTTTGAGTATTTCCAACTTTTTTATGCCTCCTTAGGAAACAAGTTTCGCAGTTCATTTTTACTACACGAGCATGCGAGAAATCCCACTTTACCGCACTTATTTTATTCCGTAAAGTTACTCCATCTTAATATCAATACCTATTCAAAAGTTTTTGGCATTCTTCCAAATTTATTGGCTGCGGTGATGTACTCAACCGTAGTCATTACAGTGCGGTAAAGTACTTCACCTTATTGCAAAATTTCCATCTCATCATTTTCATGCAGAATGGACTGAAAATTTCATGTTTTTCTAAACTGTTTAAGTTCTTAGGGTTTTTCTGTTTATACTACTGGGGTTTTTTGAAATTCTAGGCGCTCATAGGTAAAAACTTGGGCCTCTTGTAGAAAGTGCTTCTGCCGCCCATGATTTGTCCCAACTCCGCTTTGCTTTCGCCTAACTGTCGTATGTCGTCGGGTGCGGTAGGGTACCAGTTTCCGCACTTGTTGGGTGAATAACTATTGAAGCATTCATCACAGTGCGGTACGGTAGAATACTTCACAAAGCAAAACCAATCGCCGAACGAAAGTTCAAGTTCAAAAAATGTCAAATTCTCCCAGAAATGAAACGCGGTCCACGGCACAATGGCTTGTGTTGCCAATCGCATACTAAATCACGAGCGGGCAATTTAAACTTAGCAAGAAATTGAAATTCTCTCAAACTCTAGATGGTACTAGGTGTTTGTTTATAACTGGAACACTCAGTAACTTTCCTATATTATTTAAAATAAAGGGCATGTTTAAGCTGGAAAATTTCTTGGTAAATTGCAACCTTAAGCGCTAAAATGACATTTTTTTGTCGTCGTAGGTTTACAGGGTGCGCCAAAAAGGTATTTTTTTAAAATGGATTGCCCTGTGTATTTTTGTTATCCAAATAATATTTGATATGTTTGTGAAGCTAACTTTCTAAGAATTTCAAAAATGCAAAAATATACAGGGCTTTCCATTTGAAAAAATTACTTTTTTGGCGCACCCTGTATACCTATGGCGACAAAAAAAATTCTTTGTAGCGATTAAGATCGTTGCAATTTACCATGAAATTTTCCAATTTAAACATGCCCTTTATTTTCAATAATGGAAAAGTTATTGAGTGTTCCATTTATAAACAAACACCCTGTACCAAAAACATAGTTTCCGCTACCGGTGTGAAGTTAGCAGCCAAAGCTTGGCAGCCATTTTGACGGAAACACCCGAACGACCATTGGCGTAGCATTTTTTTTTTTAAATTAAAATAAATTCATTAAATCATACTTAGACATCGACTTTAGCCATGAAATTGATAGAGGACTATTTCAACACCTTTTCCAAGCCCTATGCAAAATCCCATTGACTCGAACCCCGTCGAAATATGAAAAACTACCCTTAACAAGTAAAAATGCATACATATTCAGATTTTCTTATTTTTTCCCAACTCGGACTTCAAGTCTTGCCATGAAATTGATAGGGTACTATTCTGACACCATTTCAAACCCTCATGCAAAATCCCATTGACTCAAACCCCGTCGAAGTATCTACGAAAAACTACCCTTAACAAGTAAAAATGCATATATATTCATATTTTCGTACGTTTTTCCAACTCGAACTTCGATTCTTGCCATAAATTAATAGGGTACTATTCTAACACCATTTCCAACCCCCATGAAAAAGCCCATTGACTCAAACTCCGTCGAAAT